AATCAGTCTTGCATTAGGCATGTTTGTTATTTAAAACAGAGCCATGATCAGTTTCAGACAACTTACCTCCTTTCACTAGGACACAGCACATGTAACTAGCACTGGTTTGTGTGACAGAAGGATTGGTTTGGTGCCTATGAACAATCCTTATGTGGCTGCCTTAAATGTTAAATGACTATATTTTCAGGAAGATACTTCATATGGTAAGAGATATGATGGATCTGATGAGTGAATTCTACAACTCCCAAATCCCTCTCACCCTATCCCACCCCAGCAAGTCTTAACTATGACTAAAAGTTATATTAGTTCCAATGATGGAACCCTAAACACCCGTTTGATAACTTATCCATGGTTATAGTCTGCTTGTATTCTGTTTTGGTTAACTAAATGGTTAATATGTACGATTTCCCACCTTCAGTTTCAAATTCTTGCTGTTTTATCTGTTTATCAGTCCCCAGTCATCGTCATTTCCTTTCCTGCTTCAATGTAAGAAGAAAATTACTATGCCAAAGAGCGCAAGTCTCTGAATTACTGAAGCATCCTTCACTTGCTTAGCCAAATATTCAATTCTAATGCAACTTACGCTGTTTTCAGTTATCCAAGAAGTTCTGCTATTCTGTATTTAGAACATAGACTCTTCCTTGATTTTTTAAACAGATCACTTGCCCTTAGTCTCTGCCAAAAGATAGATTCATTCTGGATAGCGTGAGCTAAAGCAATTCAGTCTCATTCAAATGCTTGAACAGCAGAGAAAAATGATAATGCAAAAACTTTCTCTGACTTTAGCAGCAAAATGATTAGAAAAGTAAAAATTTTAGGGAAGTAATTTTTGCATCTGAGCTATCCCATTCTCAATCTGCTTTGATTCATTGGGTGCAAAGACTTGAAACATGAAACTTCAGCCTTTGTTTCAGCCTTCAAGTTTTTTCAGTTCACTTTTTTTATAAACTTTTGACTGATGTACTACGCAAATACACTGTGAAGGTACATAAGGCTAACTTTTCTGCCTAGTGTCAGATCCTGCCCTGTTCTTATGTGTACTGGTACATATTTCACATTGCAGATGTTTCCTCAGCTTCACTGTTTATTACTGATGGTTAAAAAGGAAGGCAAGATTATCTGGTGATGAATGAGACATACTTTCAGACATGGTTTTTAATTAATTCTTGTTTCAAGAAGGTCTTGCCTCTTTCATGCACGGTAGATTTTTTCCACAGTAAAGTTTATGTGCATGAAACAGGGTTTTATACTTAGTGCAATACCTGAGACACTCACTAAATTAATCACAACTAGAGATTACAGAATTTATCTTTAAAATTGAGGAAATTTCATGATGAGACTGGAGCTTCACTGAGAATGAAGACAGCAGGATCAAATACTCAGTTCAGGAAATACCAAAGCCATAGTTATCCATTTAACTTTAAATTTCTGTCTTTGTACACTGTTGATATGTTACCAATTCAAACCATGAACAAACTCTTCAAAGTAGTAGAAGCTTTATCACATGGTCCAATTCAAACTTCATATCATATGAGAAATAATGTAATACAATATTAATGTTCTAAACCTCTTTCTACACCATCTAATGTGCACCTTCAAACATCTGCAAAGAATAAAAGATGCTCCTGAATATGTAAACGTTCATTTTACCTTTGTAGTTCAAACTGCCAAGTTTTTAACAACCCTAAATGTTAAGCATGAATAAACTTGCAGAAACACATCTTTCACGAAATTGCCAAACAAACAGAGAAACTCTTACTTTTATCTAGGAGATAAAATCCCTGGGGAAAAGCTCCATGAGAAGCATGACAGCATTATGGAGCTAAGAGAATGCAGATGTCTTGTCTGCATTTCTTAAGAGACCAGGCTGTGCTCTGTGCTTGCACTGTGATTAGCAACCTCTCCTGTGTCCACACATCGGTTTGGTCAACTATCCTGATGTTTGGTTTTACAGAGCAGAGAAATTGCATCTTCAACTAAACTAGCAGGGCTTTTGAGTTTCTTGAGGTTCCAAAGTAGCAAATTTTCACTTCCCAACAGAAAAAAAATCTTAAAGGAACTGATGTCATCAACTGCTGTTACGTATATCCCTTAAGAAAACAGAATCACCTAAAAACACATTGCATACAAGAAAGTGACAGTTAAAGGTCAAAAAAAGGACAAAGCTCAATTAACTCACTGTTCCAGAAAATTCAGACAGGCTTCCAGGAGTGACCAACTATAAAAATGAAAAATTCCTAACTGAAATGAATGAGGGGGCCTATACTATCACAGGAGTATCAATTCCTACTGTCAAACCTTCAACTTACTTCTAAAATAAGTATCAGCAAAACTTTTTAGCCTTTACTAATCAGAGACAGAATCAATTTGGAATTATTGTAGTTACGCTCTACCCTGACTGACTCAAAGACGTATTTTACAACTGAAAGGTGAACACAATTTCAGTGAATTATACACAAGATCTAACCTGTTCACCGTGCGAATATAATTTTTACTGCTATGTTAACTCTAGTTAGATGATATATTCTTCATTAAAAGAAAAATTGAGCTATGCCTATTGGATGAATTACTTCTAAGGTTATTTTTGCTAGTCTCCTGATGATTGCTCTGCTATATAGATTAATGTTTAATGTGTAATTTGTCTTATCCATGTTATCCATGTTACTTTGTACTTCTCATACATACATTGAGCTACTTGGATAAAACTTGCCCAGTGGTCTGCTCAATCCACAATATAAATAACTGATTCACAATCTCTCCCATTACACAGGTTGACTATTAATGATTAAGCCATTTATGGCATTCAGTTTCACAAGCTGTAGATGAGAAAAGGAAACACCGAGAATGATATTCAACCTTTGTTTTTATGGTGGTTTTCTTCATAACACCACTCAGGGAGTGGTCCAGTATGTCTTGTATCGCCTCCATGGCCCTTCTCTCACAAGACTGTTCCTGGACTGTTGGAGTTCTTTTGTTGCGTAACAACTGCAAGTTTTGCCTGACATTATGGTTATCAGATTTGGGCTGAAGTGGCTTCAGAAAGACAGCTTCGTGTACTGTTTTGCCTTTGAGAAAACTGAGGTCTCACGTAGAAAATAAATCTTTAATAAGAAAATTGAACATAATGATACATTGCTACAAGGCAAATCAGCTGCAGTTGGTATCCGTTGGAGGCTGTAAAGGGACATGGAGGATTTCTGAAAGTTTTTGTGGAGTTACGTGCCTAAGTCATTCTTAACAAAACAAACAGTCAGGGTTAGTGACTACCCCTTGGGTTTTTTTGGAAAAGGCAAGAAGATGCTGGTACCTTCTGCTTCCAAGGCCGAGTAAGCATTTTGCACTAAACAGCCAACAGATCAAATGTTTAAGCAACCCTTGGAAGTAGGGTGAACTAGGTTCCACTCCAAATCAAATAGCTGTTGTAGTGACTAGAATAATCTTTCTCTAATTTCTTCTTTCTGGTTCAACATTTTGAATTCTTCCCCATCATTCAATTTAGCAAAATAGGGTAGAGAATTTTGGCCTGTTACAAATAAAGAAATATTTAGGGTATTTGTCAGGAAATTAAAAGTTGTGTGTTAAATTATTAAGTATTTCAAAAGCAGGACTAGGCAAGGGCCACACTTCCATGTCTTCTGAATCGGATTTTTCAGCACAGTGGTTGTCTGACACATTTGTAAGAACTGACTGCAGGTACATGCTAGACAGCCTCAGAGCACAATTACTTCTTTCCGCCATGTAGAGGATGTTTTAGTCCTCCTTTAGATGGAGTTTAATAGTATTTAAATACAGATAATGCTTAGATGGAGACAGTTGTGTACACACACAAACCACTACTTCACTGACTCAAACATTAAGGACATTTTTAGTGCTTGAGCAGATGTTTTGAACATTGCTATCTTTGATAGTAATTTAGCCACCTAAGTCTAAGTCTTTCTTTGGGCTCATAACTGTTCAGTGGATCTGGACCTCATTATCCTCATTAAGAGCCTTTCAGCAGTCAAAAGTGCATTATGCCATTGGGGCACTTTCCTATACACAAATACACATTGCTTCTCCCTTCTGTGAATTTTGTATTCTGAACTCTATCATGCTTCTACCCTCTGTAACAAGGAGTACAGAAGGATTAGTTGAGGCACTCGCTAGCTAGCCATTCTTTTTTTCTGATCTTCATGATCTTTCCCTTTCCTGCCATCACCAGAGCAAAAGCAAATTTGCATATCCTAGTGTTAGAGAACAATATCGGTTCTAAATGGCACTATCTTTCTAAGAATGGAAACCTATTAATTCTCTTTTATGTGATTTCTCCTCTATAGTCCCTCCTGAGATAATTTTCTTTTGCTTATCAGCTTCTTCACTGTAAGATATTGCAGGTGTCATGCTTTCAAACTAACAGGAAAGAACTTGGTATTCTCAAGTTTTTCCCCTCTTAATTGGTATTTATTAGTCATAAGTTAGAAAATATTGTCTTTCTGGCAAGCAAAAAGAGCTCATAAGGCAGAGTCCTCAGTGTTTGCTTATTGATTGCAATAGGATTTGTTCCAGTAGGCTAATTAACGCGTCTGCTCTAATAAATACACCCAGGAAGGAAGGAGCACAGGAACAAGAACAAGAAAGAAAAGCTGCAATTTCTAAGCACTTGGCCATTCTTACACATGGGGAATAGTGCCTGATCCTGCAATCAGTGGATTTCCTTTACTGTAAAACATTACTCAGTAAAGAGATTCTGAAAGTCTGAACCTAAATGTCTTTTTGACTGACAAATATCCCAGTATAATTGAGTAACGTTTCACTGAAGTTACTGTTCATTCATTGATAAAATTAGCATTCCTTTAATGTAAAGACACGTTAAAAACTGTGTGCGCATCTCGGCAAACAGAAGTACAGAAACAATTTTAGGAATAGCCAAATAAAATGGTTAACAGATGTGGTCTGTGAAAGGCCTCAGATTATTAATATTCTTTTTTTTTTTTGTCGGTTGTTACAGTTCTAATTCTTACCATGCATTTGCGATCATCCACCCCAGCTAAATCCTCCTCAAACTCCTTTCCTACATCAAATTCCATGATGTAATTTCTAAAAGTGCTTAGCGTTTTAATGATCATATGATCCCCATTCTGAAGGATTTCTTTGTCAGGTTTTAGCAAGTTTGCTATTTTTCTTACAGCAACATTTACATCTGAAAAAGAAAAAGAATTATTTTAATCCAGAAAAGCCTACCACAAAAAGAAGCTTGTAGCTTTTGGCAGAACTAAAACGAACAAAGATAAATAAATGTCCAGATCTTTCACACCAGCTTTCTCATCAGGAAAAAGTCCATAACCTAATTCTTTTAACTTAAATAAGTTCATGTTTTGATTTTCTGATTATGTGGAATCCTAAAAAATACAGTTTGTATTTGACAGTTAATAAGGCCTTCAATATTTCTATAGAAATACTAGCACTTTACATCAAATGCAAACACACAAAATTGCATTAAGTACATTACCGTCTCTTTATTACACATAAAAATTTTACTCTTTTTCAAATTATGGTTGTTTTTTTAAGTTTGAAATCTGCCACTTACCTCTTCAAGCTATGTAGTTTAATGTCTGTTAGTGTAAGCTTCAAGATGGTAAAAAGTACAGGCTGCTTAAGACAGAACAATTTTGCATAAGGCAATTCTTAAAGTGCATTCCTGAAAAAAATGTTTCTCACAAAAAATGATTTATGACTGTACAAGAAAAAATAGATTCATGTAAAGACTAAGAGAGATTGCATTTATTGATTATTTATTAAAGAAACATGAAGGGAACCTTACCCAGTGCTTTCAGATACTCCTCAAAGTTGTCATTGCTGACCATTTTCCAGTAACCATTGAAATCTGCAGGCATCCCTACTTTAGGTAATTGTCAAAATCAAAGTCTCAGAACAGTGTGTTGATTCTGCACCACACAGCTCACTGTCTTTCTTTGTGGCGAGTTTGAACTCTGGTTTCTTTTAGCCCTTTTTTAGACCATGTAGCTATGCAAGTCCTTCTAATCTGATTATTGTTGAAGTGTTGCCTTTAAATCCTTCCACAAGGCTGAACCTCCGAGATTTCTAATGACAGCAGGATGACTTGATTTAAACAGAATGAAACACTCACCTTCCATATAACTTCTGTAAGGGTACTGATTATCTGGAGATCCATTTTAACCATATTACTCTTCATTTTTCATGCCACTCAGAAAGAAAACCTTTTAAATAGCTTTAGTTTAGGATATTAGCCAAAGCTATACAAGTGCTTATATTGTGTGATTTTTGAGGAGAATCCTTCTTCCTTGAATATGTTCCAGGTACTTTATGCCGCCTTCTTTTCAGAAAACGATCATACAGACTCTTTCAGTGAAAGCAATTTGTGTCTGGCATTACTTTAACTTGTTCCGCAAGCTCCTTAGTTCTAGAGAACTACCAGTGGAAGCTGTTTGGCCAACTGAGGGCTCAAAAAGGGCCAGTTAGGTAGAACCTTGTATTAAGAAGCAGAGGTTAATGCTGTATATTGATAAATGCTACATCACTACTGAATGCGTGTTTTCAGTTAATTTAAGCAACATCGAAACACACAGGTAGCACTTCATAGAGATTCTATATTATTTGAAGCTGTCTCCTGTCAAAAATGCGATAGACTGAATCAGCAGAATAGGCAACGAACATATAAGAGAATGGATTTTTTCGACTAACATTTCTGGCTCAAATACTGAGACAGCCTCTTAGCTATTTTCATTTATTTTCCACTGTGTATTTTCAAATGGTACAGCTGAAGTTCCTCTTGGATATGTTATCTACTCCAGGGCTTTGGCAATTACTTACTCTTATAGAAGACTCTGGATCAGAGAAGCAAAGAAACCCACTTTAAATCTGGGGATGAGGGCTGTCTATCATTTGTGAATCTGGAGGCTTAAAAGTGACATGAATGGTGCATGCATTTTTAAGTGCTGGCATGAAAGAAAGATTTATTTCCATCTCTTGTCCAAATTGCCAAGAGACAAAAAGTTATTCAGGGTCCAAAGAAGTCAAAGTTTAGCAGTTATATATATTTCAATATATATATATGTAAAGAAAAGTTATGGTTCATTTTATTTTGCTGCTTCAGAACAGTAAGGCATCTTCATGCTAAAACTGTCTGTAGGATTACAGAATTACAGTTCAGGAAAGTACTATGTTTGACCCTTAAGTATTACTGGAGATTAATATTTACTGTTAAGATCTTATTTAATTTATTTTCACAAGGAAGCTGTTCTTTATATATTTTAAGCTATGCAGCTGAGCATCCTGATTTGCTTAAGCACTACCACACACAAAACCATGAATTTAAACCAACACATGAATTCAAGAAATTTTGGACTGATGTACTTTCCCTTCATTAACGAGAAACAACTTTCTCAAGAACTTTACATGAAAAAACCCCAGGTCTGTCCACTTCGCACACTACAGACATCAGTCATTTAGAGGGTTTAATGTTGTGTTATGCAACTTAAGAGGCTGAAGCAAGTCACCTTCATTCTTCCGCTCACTCTCTTCTGTGTAGATATTATGGTGTGCAATGTAGGATATAACAGAATCTGGTATGAGATATTTTACACTTAATCCTCTGCATAAGGCATAGCGTATCTGTGTTGCACTGATTTCATTCTGAATCCATTCTTTCACCAGAAAGATATTGTGCTGAAATTTAGTTAAAAGGTCTGATTCATTGATATACCGAGCAGGATCAGAGCCAGCACGGCTAACACAGACCAAACCAAACTTTTCCACTATTTCTTTGATGTGTTCTTCCTTCCAGAGATTGGGTGTATTAATTGTCTGTAGAAAATCAGCCCCACAGAGCAGCTTTAATTCTGGTAGAGCTAGAAAGACAAAAGGAAATGAGAGATTTATGTATTTGCTTGGTTTTCTAGAAAGTTTATACTTAAAATTGGTTTAAACTCATAACTTTTTTTTTTTTTTTTTATCATTTACCTTTACTCCAGTTTTCTTTCAAAAGGTTGCAAGAAAAATTCAACTTGGATTTTATGTGTCTGGTCACAATTACTTTATCACCTACTTCATCATCACTCACAGCATATCAAATATTATCTGTACAATGTTAAAGGAGAATTATTCCTCCACTCAAGCAAGCCAAAAATGGGAAGAAGCAAATGAAGAAGAGAATTATTTCAGCACAAAGACTAGACTGGATTGAACCTTGCTACTACACCCCAGCCTGCCCTGCTGGCTTTGCTCAGGTACTGTGGGACCAACCCCAGCCAGCGGGGCCCTTGCCTGCCACTGTGTTACCGCATATGGCTCCCCATCCCTTCGGGAGCGGCTGCCCTACTGCGCTCTGGCCCACAGACGCAATGTTCGCATACTGTCACATTAGCCAGAGAACAACCTAGAATTTCGCCTGGGTTTGTGCACCTACATCATCTAAAACATGACGGACTGTATCTCATCTAACTAACCTTACTGGTACGATAAGCTAGTTAGTTGACCTACTAAGTTTTATTTTATCTTTAGAGAAATTTGAACCAGCAGAATATTATACAGGTAATATTTTGTGTCATGTGGCCATGGTATTTTCGTTCTAGTACAAAGAGGTCTAAAGCCAAATTTGCTGTACCTTGAATAATGACCAAGAATGATCTTCACTAGTACAATTTTTTTTTGTTTTCTCTCCATTTCTTATTTGCTGCCCACCGCCTGAGCCCCAGTACAGTACTATCTCTTTCCTCAAAGTCTGGTCTACAGCACTCATCGTTAGGTATTTTCACAGCTGTGCATTCATGTGAAATGAAGAGGAAGGATGGAGGTATTGTCTCCATTTTACGTTTATTTGTGGTTGCAGACAGTTAGCACATCTGCAAGTCTTATACAAACACCTTAAATCAGTGATTTGAAAAATAAGGAACATACCAGTGATGATGCATGAAAAGCATACCTTAAGTGCCTTAAGATACACTCAGTTTTGCAGACGTTTACTATATACCATGGAGTTAACTACAGCAAGTATTTCTTCTCTTCTTACACCCCTCACTACACACCTTCCGACCCTACAACAAAGGTGGCGGGGTACTGCACTGCACCTTCCTGTGCTCTGAATGCAGCATTACTATAGAAGGAGGACTGTATAGGACAAGGCTATCTTGAAACATTCATGCCTGACAGAATCACCATAGACTGTCCACATACTTAAAAATATAATTCTGGTTTTTTTAGGGTTTATAATTAGTGTATTTGGTAGGAATGTGAAATTCTTGTAACAGCCCCCTCCCCCACAAACCACCCAGTAATTTTTATTTTGATACCCACATCTGCAAGGTTGGAACCTTTAGATTCAGTGCTCTCATCTCTGACACTTGAGCTAGTACAGAAGTACCTGCAAAAGTTGTCTGTGATTCCTGTGTGGACCAGGACTTGAAGAGTACGAAACCCTAAAAGAATGCCCCAGATACTTCTGACAGCTGATGAACGATGAGACACCAAGAACCTTAGGATTCACACAACCCTGGAAGCTCTATCATGATAAAGCTGATCTTTTCTGCTTCATCCCTTCCAAGCTGTCCTCTGCCCATCTATTTCCTCATGCCAGTTCCAATCTTGTCCTTCCATTCAGAGATTCTGCTTTTCCTTTCCAGTTCCCTGTCCTCAGTTCCATGTTTAGACTGTTTCCAGTCCCCTGCTTTCCAGAGCTTTACCTGGGTTTTATGTTACAGCTTGCTTTTTACTTAACAGCAACCTCCGCAATAAAACAGTACTCTGTCCCAAGCTGTATTAGAAAAAATATTACACCAGAGCTTTTATAGTGTTGATGGGTTTTCTCTGAATGTGCATGCATTGCAGTTCTAGGTTACTAGAAGCTAAATTAACAGATTGTAGGCTTCACAAAAAGGCTGTTAGTTTACAAATAGATCTCTGCATATCCCCACATCTTCTGCGCCAGTGACAAAAATATGTCTTTGGCCTTTTAAGAGCACTTTGCTAAATGATGATCTGCAGCTTCCACAATAGATAATGGTATAAAACGCAAATGGCTGCTGCAATGCTCCATTTTTTGATAAGTACAATAGCCTTTATTTCAGGCCACGGTGTGTCTGGATTAGGGAAATTTTTGCATCCAATGATCATAGAATCATAGAATCATTAAGGTTGGAAAAGACCTCTAAGATCATCGAGTCCAGCCGTCAACCCAGCACCCCCATGCCCACTAAACCATGTCCCTGAGCGCCGCATCTACACGTCCTTTAAATATTTCCAGGGATGGTGACTCAACCACTTCCCTGGGCAGCCTGTTCCAATGTTGGTGGACAGAAATGAATTGCAATTCTTTGAAGTGTTGTTCAGGGAAAAAGGAGAGGGTAAGCTAAAGAAGAAATAACTATTAACACAAAGGAAGTAGCTGGATTTAAGGTCTAATTAAGGGAGACTGCTGTTGGAATATGCCAGGGAAAAGCATTCAAGAAGTGACAACAAAGTTGTTCACGTAAGGCAACTGAGAGACTTGAAGTGCAGGGGTTTCAATTAAAAATGAAATGAAGGCAATCAACCATCTCTTGTAAGTAGGACAAGAAATATTGCACGTGAAGCAAGGAGGGATGGCAAATCCATGGGCACTGAAAAACAGAGAAAAAGAACTCCGTAGTCTTGTCGTTTTCATCTTCGTCCTGAATGACTGGCACCAATAAGCTATTCTAAGTTTATTAAAACAGCAATCATTTGTCTATACCTGTCCTCAGTGAAGCTTTTTATTTGCAATATATATTAAAGTGACCTGATTATTTCATGTAGAACAAAATCATGAGGTTCAGCACCATGCAAAGAAGTCTTACAGTTTAACAGGCATACGTTTAGTAGAAAAATAGCGTATTATGGAATTTTGCCACTGCTAAATTCAGCCATCAAGCTGATCTTTGTGAAAGCTTCCATTAGGTGACTGGGCCTTTCTACAGACTTCACAGAAAACCCCAATTCAAGAGATTTCATTGTTGGGAGGGGTTTTTTGGGGGCGGTGGGGGGGGGGTAACAGTTGCCTGCCATTAGAAAGTTTGTGCTAACCAACATTTATTTATGAGAAAGGGGAGGAACTCTATTCTGCTCTGGAGTTCTCAGCAGCTCTTGATAATTCCCCATGCCCCATGCCATACCATGCTAGTGACCAAAGGAAGTGGGAAAAAACCATTCCGCTCCTTCTTGGCAGGCCACGTGTTTAATATAGCCAAATCCGTATCACTGCCCAGTCAGTCAAAGCACTGAAGGCAGAAAAAGAAAGTAACAATAGGATGCTAGCCTTTCTCTGTTCAAACTAACAGATTGTTTTTTGTTGTTAGTATCACTGCCCAGTAAGTCAAAGCACTGAAGGCAGAAAAAGAAAGTAACAATAGGATGCTAGCCTTTCTCTGTTCAAACTAACAGATTGTTTTTTGTGGATATTGCCAGATAGAATTAAAAAAAAAAAAAAAAAAATCAAAAAAATCCAGCCACTATGTACTAGACAGAGAAACCTATTTCTTGCCTGTCGTCCTTCTCACCAGTTTTTGCTATGCCTTTTGTTTTTGACTGTAGAGGAATCCTGTGATGATGACTGATGACTTCTAAACTGAGAATCTTTATTGGGAAAGAAAGACTAATTTTAACAGTTGTTTTCTTGACCATTTTTACATAAAATGCTATAGAGCTTGAAATAACTACAGAAAATAATAGCCAAAGGAATTTTTTGTAATGGAAAATTAAAATAGTCTTTACTACTTTCACACTAATTTTCCTTAGTGTGGCAATATGGAATAATCTGACTTGTCATTTGCCAACAATCATTAACCCCATCAGACACAAGATTCCACTGCAGTCCAAATACCTTGAGACTTTTTTTCCTCTACCATCTATAGATACAATTCATCTTTTGGAAACTTTTGTGTAACCATGAACAACTTAAATGTATTCATGTCCAAGAAGTGCTGTAATACTACAGGAAAAATGTAATGTATCAAAAATCTAGC